AACAAGCTATTAGAATGAAGGAAGGGGATGTCCCTTCAATGATGGATTTGATGTTCACCAGGAAAGAAGGGGATATTTGACATTCAGTACTGTCTAAGCTCACATATCTGGACTATATGGGAGGGACCCCCTCACCAGAGAAACCAAACATCCAGATAAGCAGAATTCTTACCGGAGAAGTCCAAAATGAACACACACAGTATTCTTAATTTTTTGTGCCACAACCAACATAATTTAAATTTTTATGCACACTATAAATAAAAAATATAATTTAAAACAGAAACTTCAACTTACATTGTTGTAGTTTGGCATCTTGATTGATACTGTAGATCTTGACATATGTTGAAATTTAAGTAACCTAATCTCTGGTTATCTCGATTTCTGTCTAGATATAGCAAAGTTTTGCCATAAAATTATCCAGATGCAATTTTGGCTGGATAACCCAAATATTCATTTCAGCAGACTTTAGATAACCAAGTTCATACAGTACCCCCCCCCCCCTCCCTAAACTGACCATGTCCTTTTAGAAGTAAAGTATGCAATGCATTATAATCTAGAAGAGAATGAGGAAAATTAATCGGTTAAAAAACATGATTTCAGGAGAGGACACTGTGTGGAACTTAGAAAGTTTGTTAATAAATTTGATTGGAAACTTTCTTCTGTGAGCAGAACTTCTGTGAGTGATGTAACGCTTAGTATGGAGCAATCTCAGTATGTTAGCTAGGGAGCCACTGGGGCTTCTCCAGAAAGAGCCATTTCATAACTTTCAATGCTGGATTTTTGCAAAAACAATATTTTTATTCCAACTGAGATTTTGCAAGAGTTTGTTGGAAAGCGGACGTACATGACACAGACATGATAGAGAATATCTGGAAGACTTACTGTATATGAAATTAGTGTTGAACAAAAGGCAATGAGAATCACTAGATTAAAATAATATCTAACATTTTTACGTACATGCTGAAGGGAATGACGCTCCTTAATTTGTGGCAGGCCATAGCAGAGTTACAGCAGTAATGCTCACCCAAAGTTGATAAGCTATTAGCTTCATATTGCATGCTTTTATCCACTTGAGTTTATGAACATTTAATGACTTAGCACCCTACATTGCTTGTCCTTGTCCAGTGCATGGGTCAAACATTAGATCACCGCACTGATGTGAAGAAAGTTGTGATGTGAAGGATTACCTTCTTGTATTCTTATTACTGCTAAAAATGCTGAACATTGAAGGTGATTCAGGAATATTATGTGTTGGTAATCATTTGACACCATTAATTTTGTTGAAACAGAATTGCTGCAATAACTGTTACAAATTGGACAATTCTGCTTTACAATTTGAATTCCCAGTAAGATTTTATGATTAAATTTAGTTGTATAGAAAGATTTTTGTCATCCCATTCTGCTGGGTACCAGGTTTCCTGAATCTTGTGTTCATTCAGCAGCAAAATTTATATAATTTTTCATTTTACTAATAGTAGGCTGAAGGTTAGTGGTTGCCTATCTTAAGTGGAGGAACCAGTAACCTCTCTCTACCACCTTGTGCTCAACTTTACATCTCTTATCTCAGATTAGCATAAAGATACATTGAACCTGAATAACTCTTCTATATATTAGTACATACACTACATGAAAAATATATTGTTCAGTATTTGTAACAAAAAAATTAATCAATATATATTTTTACCTATAATTGGAATTACTGGTATACCTTCTGGGGTATATTCTATTCCGATTTTTCTGTGACAAATGTTGCTGGAAATATTTTGTATCAATGAAGAAGTAAACTGTAGTGGCAACACATGTTAGTTATTCATGTGTGACTGTAGCGCACAGCTGAGTAAGTGAACATGTTGTTGTTGTTAATTGTTGAGGAATAGCAGAGGGCAGTTCTCTCAACTTTTCCCAAGTATGTCAATGTATCAAATGCACTTTTCTGAACTAACACTTGTCAAAGTTACACTCCTTTACATAAAGTTGTGGAGTTGTACATAAAAAAAACATTGTGCTACTGTAGCCTTAAGGTAAAGTTTATTAAAGTCTTATCCTTTAACAACAAAGTACAGTAATTAAGTCATGTCAAGAAAACTTTACTGATTGGGGAGACTGAACTGTTGAAATGATATAAGTTTTGAAATAAAACATGACATATACATCACCACTAGGATAGCTCATGGATATCGCCAGTAGGGAACCACTTCTTCAGTTGCAAACCACTTTTTTATTCTAGGAGGGCCCTCTCAGTAGCTCCTCAATGCTACAACCTGGCAATGACCAAGCCTTGGGAAATACAACACTTCTGAGGGCACACCAGTGCTTATTGGAAGCCAGGACAAGAATATGGCCCACTTAAAGAGTTGAAGGGGAATCTGGAGATCAGGGATAGCCACAACTGAGCAAAATGCCTATCAGAAAGGTAAATTTCTCCAAAACAGACAAATGCTTGTAAAATTGTGAAATCTTGACGAAAACAATGCAAATAATCATTACTGTCTGTCACTAGATAGCGACCTGAGATCTTGACCAGCCAGCCAACCTATTCGCACACTTGAGGGAGGGGTGGGGATATTCCAACCCAATCTTATGACTGAGATAGTGGAGTCATTTTCCTGCAAAGGTCTTTCTGTTGTCAGATTCTTCATCCATGATCCTATTGTATCTGTGTTGGATATTAACACTTTCGCGCTTTAGATTAGAGATAACTCGTCGCCGTTTTCTCTTACGATTCCGCATAACAGCCTACTTTTCTCGTCCATCGAAAAAATATTTCTATAAATTCCATTTTTTAACCGAAATGGATGGGGATACTTTTGTTTTGTAGAGAATTTATTTGCGAATGTTTTGGTACCAGAATGAATATTATATCACATAAACTTCTATGAGTAAAAAAAAAAATACACAAAGTATGTTTGGGGGTGTGGTGAGCGTGTGGCAGTGGGTTCCCTTTAGCCGTTGATATATCCAACACGTGGGAAATATTTGTATGTGTTATGTATATGTCTGTGTAGGGAATTTTTCTGCGATCACTGTCATACAAATTATAAAATGTTTCAACAAGTATAAACATGACAAACATCAAACGAACGAAAACAATGCGTTCGTTTCTGCCGCGAACGCATACTGAGCGACGTGGTTCTATATTTGGCGCTTCTCTTACACATCACATGCTTTGTACAAATGTTATACAGTTCATCTTATAGAAAATTTTATTGCGAACACATTGGTATAAAAAAGAAATACGTACATAGAAAAGTAGGGTCAGGAAACATATAAACTTTCCAAGCATGATTTCCCCCGAGTTTTCGCCAGTGCGCTCGTGGCTAACTACTCTCCACTTCACACACTCTTGCGGGTGGGCAATTACCTATATTAAACATTCATATGCATATGTCCGTGTAGAGAATTTTATTGCGATTCCAATGATACCAAAATTAGCGATGTAGGACAACTGTAGGCTTCGCAACCATTAAGAGAGTGGAAACATTTTGTTGCTGTTTGGCGCTCTCGGCGAGTGATCTGCATAGTTTTTTATTTGGTGTTGATACTCCTTATGCTTGGGCGGCATTTTATAGGTATGCTCTTATAGACAATTTCATTGCGAACACAGTGATACCAAATTTAAATACGTGCGCCTTCAATTATTGTCAGGACAGTCAAAAGAGTGTACACTTTTCGGTCTTACCGCGTAGGCGCGCGAAGTGCCGAAAGCATCTGGGGTATTGTTTTTTTTTGAGCGCCGAGAGCGCGAAAGTGTTAAAGGAGTCACCTCATCCTGCTGGTTCAAGAAACATTTTTAGCTTTCACCAGTCTCATCCGATTGAATGACAATCGGTGTGATTGGATTGTTACTTAGAGGGGGTTCCTTAGGAAGATAGTAGATAGAAGTTAGAGCTATAGAATGGTAGTGGGGGTGAGTGGGTGGGTTGAACAGAGGGGCCAATGAGTCCCCTAATCCTATTTCTCTCCAAAACTCATCCCACTACCCCATCAAGAAGCATAGTACAGATGTTGACAGGTTGTCTCCTAGGGTGGCTTGTAAATAGGTTGCAATTCTATTGAAGCCCCCACATTGCTTGAATTGCCATCTAGTGGTTATCTTGAGGTTATCTTGAGATGATTTCTGGGCTTAGCGTCCCTGTGGCCCAGTCCTCGACCAGGCCTCCTTTTTGTTACACATCCCCAGGAAGTAGCCTGTAGCAACTGTCTAATTCCCAGGTACCTATTTACTGCTAGGTAGCAGGGGCATCAGGGTGAAAGACAGTCTACCCATTTGTTTCCGCCTCCACTGGAGATCGAACCCGGAACCTTAGGACTACGAACCCGAAGCGCTGTCCACTCAGCTGTCAGGCCCCACAGCTGGTGGTGGTCCTTCTGGTGGGTGGGCATATTTCCATGGGAATTTACCTGGATAGTGATTGCTTCATTTTGTCATGGTTTCAGATTTTTCAAGTAGTTACTTATTTTGGTTCCCTTTGGGTTTTTGATTAGCTATTTACTCACTCTCATCCCTTCGAGGGAGCCAGAATGTGGTCCTGGTCCCTGGTAAGTGCTCACAGGTCTTCAGAAGACTGGTGTGTTGTCCAAGGCTTGGCCATTGCCAGGGTTGTGACGTCAGGGAGTTACTGAGCAGCCTACTAGAGAGAGGCATTTCATTACATTCAGGGCTGGATTTATATCCCTAAAGTTTAACTAATGGTGCAGTGTATGGTGCATGTGATTTTGTGATCATTTTGACCTTGGTTTCACATATTTTGACATGTAAGCCATAGTTAACTGTTTCTTCTCTTGTTAAACACATTTCCTTGTATGTTTACAAGTCACATGTACAGTACGTATATGGTAGGTGTGTGTGTATTGTATAAGGTTATATATACTAGTGCTCTCAATAATACATTATTACCAGCTAAGGAAAACATGGTGTATGACTGTGCTTGAATATCTGGCCATGCTTGAATGCTATGACTGCCCATGCTGAGGCTGCTTGGACATTATATATGCGTTAGGCTGAGCGTGAGGCAGCTGAAGAAGCAGTGGCCAGGGCAGAGAAGGAGCGCTTGGAGGCGGAAGTGCGCAGGCAAGAGCAGCTCCTTATGGGCGACCCACAGGTGATCCTCACCCACATCCAACTCACACTACCAAACTTTTCATTTTCATTTCATTATCATAAAATTGCACCATGATTTGCAACACTTTCTTATGCCTGTAATTATTTTGGTTTGTAGAGGATAATTATGCTATTTAAATATTTAGTTTTAAATCTGTAATCAAATACAGTACATATTTCAGAAGTACCAAATTGTTAAAAGATTTGGTTGTATGTATTTACAGCAAAAATAACTGAACAATTTGAGCAGTTTCATTTGTTATTTTATTTGTTATTTATCACCTTGACAAGTACAGGCATTAAATAATACACCATTAATATTTGCTACATAACCCACTTGTGCCTTGCTAAGCTTCCTGTGTTAGTACCTGGCTTAGTAAACTTAACAACAATTAGTAAACAAGTATGAATTGACTCTCCCATAAGCACTTCCATGGGAGAAATGAGAGTTGTGACAAGAAAGATGCTTAGCTGTTCTTTATCTCTTTTTCTGCTATGTTCTTTTCCTCCATGTTAGTTTTCATGTACAGTAGTTGTATGATTAGTGTCCATAAAGAACATGTCACCTATACTAATTACAATTTATTATTTCTGTATTCATTTTTGTTTTCCTATTTTCATAATCCACATTTTTGGGGGGTTACATTTTACATCAATAAATTCTCTTATTTCATTATTTCTTGTAATGCATACATATTTATTTATTAATTTATTGTGTTGGGTATCCCTTGCTGTGAGTGGTATCTCTACTGTCATTCCAAGTGTTCCTTGCTGTGAGTGGTATCTCTACTGTCATTCCAAGTGTCCCTTGCTGTGAGTGGTATCTCTACTGTCATTCCAAGTGTTCCTTGCTGTGAGTGGTATCTCTGCTGTCATTCCAAGTGTCCCTTGCTGTGAGTGGTATCTCTACTGTCATTCCAAGTGTCCCTTGCTGTGAGTGGTATCTCTACTGTCATTCCAAGTGTTCCTTGCTGTGAGTGGTATCTCTACTGTCATTCCAAGTATCCCTTGCTGTGAGTGGTATCTCTACTGTCATTCCAAGTGTCCCTTGCTGTGAGTGGTATCTCTACTGTCATTCCAAGTGTCCCTTGCTGTGAGTGGTATCTCTACTGTCATTCCAAGTGTTCCTTGCTGTGAGTGGTATCTCTACTGTCATTCCAAGTATCTCTTGCTGTGAGTTACTTTCTTGGTACTATCAAGCCAAGTTTTCCTTGTTAAAATAGGCCTTCTCTCCTATGCCTGAGATCATTTTCAATGCATAATTTCTGGCTGAAACTGCTGTTCTATCATTCAGATGAGTAGGCTATCCTTCTTTATGAACTTCCATCCGAGTAGGTTTCAGTCTTTTTAACACTTCATTTATGAGTATGTTAGCCTCATGGAGTGTCCCTTGATATCTACACCATTTTGGTACCAATGTCTCCACAGGTGCTTTCTTAGTTGGTCTACACTATTTATGATCAATATTTTCTTCACAAGTGCTTTCTTAGTTGGCCTTAAACTACATTCGATCATGGTGAGTTTGGTCTCGTCCTGTGCATTACACTGAGGAGCTTTGTTTAAAATTTGTTCTTGCTATTTTGTTTTTCTGAAGGTTGAACATTTGAGAATATCCAAACTCATGTAACTTATGCACTCCTAGCTTGTTGTGTAGAGGATTTTGTGAGATGTTTTCTAAAGGTCGAGTACTGCTGGCAGTAGAGCTTAGACACACAATGTGACTACCTAAAGGTTAGTTCATTTGTCTGCAAACTCTCGAGCCACTTTGGTAAGTCATGTTTTTAAACTTTAAGATCACTCCCTGTATATGCCCATTCAAGAGTACCCAATTTGATAATTTGCATATGTTATTTGCTCTTAATATATTTTTCTACACATTACATAATGTATCACCAAACCCACCTTATTCTGTTGTTTATAATTATATAAGCAGTGTTGTAGGTGTTGTGGAGACCCATCACTCGGAACAAAGCACCCTAACATAGGAGTTTTGCTATGTTCATATCTTCTCAGTACAGCATGTCCTATTAAATTCTTATAGATTTATGTTCAAAATAAATTTGAACATTCAATTGCTTAATAAATTTGAATGCCTAACTAGCAGATAAAGCCTTCTTTAACATCACCTTTGAAGCTTGAGCATGACAGAGAAAGTAGAGCTGTTCACTTTCCATATTCCAAAGGATGTTTTCTTATGTAGATGGTACGTAAGCAGTACCTTACCAACTTCGCACTTTGAACACTCGGAGGCCTATGCATTTGCATGTATACCTCGCTTACTTTTATCAAACTAATCTTTTCAGTACATGTCAAGTTCAGTACAATAATTGGAATTGGAATCTTATATTGAAAATATTTATTAACTGTATTCAATATTTGAAGATGGACTATATTCATATTTTATAACATAAGACAAGTTCCCTCTGAATATGGAAATTCTGAGTACCGTAGTTAATTGTGAATGTTTGTTGTAATCGTAATGCATTCATTGTTGTACAGTAGTATTCATCATAATACATTCATTGTTGTAGTATTGATCATAATACATTCATTGTTGTAGTATTCACCATAATACATTGTTGTAGTATTCATCATAATGCATTTATTGTTGTAGTATTCATCATAATACATTCATTGTTGTAGTATTCATCATTATGCATTTATTGTTGTAGTATTCATCATAATACATTCATTGCTGTCTGCATAATACCTTTTATTTTATCATTAGCAACTAGATGTGTATTTTTTATATTATAAATATGTTTAGATTTACATGTTGAGCACAAATATAAGCATCAAATATGGTCATGAATAATGTTTATTGTGCTGCACCATTAATGGTAGCCTTCATTACTTGCTCTCATATATATTTTTCAATTTGTCTGTATTGTGTTTATATACACAATATATGTATTATAAACATGAAGTATATGCAGTTGTGAAATATTAATTTGCTAGTTGATTTTTCCTCAACTTCTCTCAATGACTGTTGTGTTCTTGACTGCACGTAGAGTCTGACTGCAGGAGCCGAGACTAATCCTGAACCACCAACGCAAGATGAAGGCATGGGAGTAACAGCATATGCACTCTTTGACTATCAGGCAGGTCAGTACAAATACTGTACCTAGTTAATTGTCTTAGCATTAAAAGATTGTAATGTACTGTACTTTAATACTTTAACACAGGCCTTATCAGGGGTGAATAATATCAATAAATGGCCATTCACTGTGGAAATATTTGGCTTGCACTCTATATACTGTATTGTACTGTGAATGTCATGCATGGTGTTTTGAAGTATCTGGGATTTTCATATTGTATTGTATTGTACTGTATTAGAAATATTGAACAGCTGACTTTTTAATCTGGAAGGTCATGACTTATGCAGTCTGCATCTATGTGGTAAACATATTAAAACCCATTTAAATAATGTACATGGTCAACATAGGAACCTACACAAATTTACATGAATATGCAAATTGTTTTCAGCAAATTTAGTACAGTATAGATCTTCAAAAGTGTTACTGCAGTTTGCAAATATATTTGCAGCTAAACCTCTGTAACCCTTTGCCTGCTAAATAAAAATAAGGTTTTTACTCTGTGTGAAACAACACGCCCCTTTGACAGCACAGGTGGAACATCTGTCTGTTTTGTCAGCTCTGGGATCTACGATGCTTGAGCCCTCTGGATGGTATTCCATGGCCTGCAGTGGAAGTTGTCCTCAATTCCCTCCTGTGGTATTAGGAATTCAGGGCCAGCAGTCTGCCCCACAACTCCTCTTAGTCATTGTGGAGTGGTTGAATGCAGAATGGTCAATTAACCCCCCTGATTTACAATGGGTGTCTTGCTTGTTCCCAGTCTCTAAGTGAGACTCGTCAGGTCTGTGGGGCATTCTTGACCTTTCTGGTTTTAACCACTTCATTTGCTGTCCAAGTTTCTGCATAACAACTTTTCAGTAGGTGTTACTAGTGTTACCAGGTGGATTGCAGTACTAGCTAGAGGGAGGCTGGTAAGCCACAGACATGGAGCCCGGAAAGGGGTGTTTCATTGTACTCAAATTGTACAGTATTTTCATTGTACCATACTTTCTGGGAGGGACCTTCCAGAAAGTGGCACCTTATTACATTTGACACTGATTATTTCTTCATGAGATTGAACTAGATGCCTGAAGGCTCATATTGAGAAGGGTCTCATAAAATAGTCAACTTATTATTTGGTCTGATATTTAAATCCTCCCTGAAGCACCATAATGGTATCTGGTATAATACACCCTTCATCCTGGTTAGTAGAGCAATGGCTTTAAATTTTACGGGCTTGTGTTCAATCCCTCAATGACCCAAGTAAATGGTATATTATTACCAATGATATTGTCGATTTGTAATTTATATGATATGACTGAAGGATTGATTACTATCAGATACCATTAAGGTTTTCCACTAATGGTTTAAAACAAACTTGTATTTCCAAGTAATTTATTAAAAGTCTTTGGCAGAAAAGTAAATACAAGTTATCCATATTGTGCAAGTCTAGTCTCATCATTTCCTGATAAAATACGTTTTACTGTACAAATACAATAAGAATACATGTATTGAAGGTGGAATACAGAAGTAAAGGGAATGTTTTGTTTATTTCAGCGGACACTGATGAAATTTCGTTTGACCCTGATGACATCCTTACTAATATTGAAATGGTAAGTAGCATAGAATGGCTATTCCAGTAACAAAAACATTTATTTTAGCAAGATAAATATCACTAAAGAGTATGTCAGAAAGAGTAGTAGATTTACTAGTTCTCAATTTATGCCAGTCATATGTTCATCTGTAACAGTCACGTCTTGAAGGGGAGAGAGTTCATAAACCTTTCCTCTGGCATCACCTGCGGCTTCAGGTCTCTGACTACTGATATTTCCTTCTACTAATCAGAAGCATAATTATGTCCCCATAATGTAGTAACGTTCCTAAAGGAGACATGTAAGCACATTTTGGCCAGCATTTTTAGTGTTATTAGTACAACTGATAAACCATGCTTTCAGCCAATTTTGATATCAAAATCACTTAAAATATCTTGACAAATGTGTTAGTTATTGTGCCTTAATCTTTAAAGGTGCCACCATATGCACATATAAAAAATATTTGAAATAAATATTTTTGTTTTTCCTTTTTTTCTAATAAAGAGTTTAAAATTTGAAAAAAATATATAAAAAATATGTTCTTTATTTTCCTCTATATGCAAAACTTCACATTCACAGTGCGCAGGAAATAAATTCTCTGGAAAAAATTCTTTTTTCTTTTTAAAGTGTCAAAAACCCTTCCCTCAGTATGGGTATGTAAAAAAAAAGTCGAAATTGTACTTACTTTGGCTGCTATGGGGTCCGGAAGTTGGGGCGTGACGTCATCATTCCCCGTGCGCCCGTGCCGTAAACTCTCGGGGGCGGTGGGGCGCTCGGGGCGGGGTGCGCGAGTTGCCGCGAATATATTTTCGTTCATTTTTTGCGCACCTTTCCAAATACATTTTCATTGTTTTTATGTGCCAATCCAATGTATAATGAACACGTACACTATAATATCGCAGTACAACATCCGTACTGTCCGTAGACACTGTGTTACGTGCATGAAACTTGTGCGCACATATGCAGCACATATTTACTATGTATCATGCTAATTTGTGTATATATACAATCTATTTACACACTATACACTGTCACACACTATATACATTCACCATCAACACATTCAGAACACCGCGTAGCAGCTGCTTCATATGGGCCAACAGCAGCTGCCTCGTATGGGCCAATAGCAGCTGCCTCGTATGGGCCAATAGCAGCTGCCTCGTATGGGCCAATAGCAGCTGCCTCGTATGGGCAAATAGCTGCCCCGTATGGGCCAATAGCAGCTGCCCCGTATGGGCCAATAGCAGGTGCCCCGTATGGGCCAATGGCAGGTGCCTCGTATGGGCCAATAGCAGGTGCCTCGTATGGGCCAATAGCAGCTGCCCCGTATGGGCCAATAGCAGCTGCCCCGTATGGGCCAATAGCAGCTGCCTCGTATGGGCCAATAGCAGCTGCCTCGTATGGGCCAATAGGAGCATTTGACCATGAACACATTCAGAACACCTCGAGTGAGAGCAGCCTCACCCAGCCAGTCTCCCTCACTCCAACATCTTACTCGCCAACATTGTTCCTCCCACCATATTATTATAGTTCTTATTACACATGTTCTATATACCTATCTACATGTTTTATTTACCAGAACTATGGAAGTAAGCCGGTATTGTGTCCAAACAGTACAGTGGCCACCATACACTGCATGAAAAATCACACAGCAGACGACGCTACGATTACGTCACCTCCCTCACCGAAATAGCTCCTCTCAACATTCTCCTGTTGCTGTTCTTACACTATATACACACACTATATATACCCATGTACATATGTGTTGCCCATAGCGAACCACTAAGCTAGTATGGTGAGCAAAACAAGAGTGGCAGCCACACACACACAATGAGGCTACCTCAATTATCGCCCTCCCTCATCAAAATTCCTCCTTCCACAATACTACGCACAACGCTAATTATAACCACAATCCTGCTATTATCACAATCCTGGTCACTAATTCCTGTAAATGAATAATTGACCACACGTTTATTTTGAAAAGGAACCTAAGAAATCATTTGAAGATTCCTAGATGAACGAAATAATGCTGTGGTGCTGTGGCTAGCGCTGTGAACATCGTGAACAGAATTTTAAAAATAATTACTGATACCTAACTGTAGTTACAGGATGAGAGCTATGCTCGTGGTGTCCCGTCTTCCCAGTCCTCTTCGTCATATAATGTTTTGAAACTACTGACGGTTTTGGCCTCCACCGCCTCACCCAACTATTTCCAACCTCCTACCACTCTGTTTGCGAACATGAATTTTCTTTTATTCCTTTGACAGCTTTGTTTAGTTAGCTTAAATCTATGACCTCTTGTTCTTGAAGTTCCAGATCTCGGGAATTTTCCTGGTTAGTTTTATCAATTCCCATTACTATTTTGTACGTAGTGATCATATCGCCTCTTTTTCTTCTGTCTTCTAGTTTTGGCGTATTTAATGCCTTTAACCTCTCATCATAGCTCTTGTCCTTCAGTTCTGGGAGCCACTTATCATGTCTTTGCACCATTTCCAGTTTGTTGATGTGCTTCTTAAGATATGGGCACCATACAACCGCTGCATATTCCAGTTTTGGTCTAACAAAGGTTGTGAACAATTTATTTAGTATTTCACCATCCATGTATTTAAAAGAAATTCTGAAATTGAACAGTTTAGCATAGGCTCCTCGTACAATGTTCTTTATATGGTCCTCAGGTGATAGTTTTATATCTAGAACCACCCCTAGATCTCTTTCTTTAATCAGAATATTTTAAAGATTTTTCTTTTAATTTGTAGGTTGTGTGTGGGTCTATGACCTCTATTCCACATTCCATAGCATGACATTTATTCACATTAAATTCCATTTGCCAAGTGGTGCTCCATACACTTATTTTGTCCAGGTCGTCTTGAAGGGCATGACAATCTTCTAAGTTTCTTATTTTTCCTAGTATCTTAGCATCATCTGCAAACATGTTCATATAATAATGTATTCCATCTGGTAGGTCATTTATGTAGAAAAGGAACATTACTAGTGCAAGAATCGAACCCTGTGGTACTCCACTCGTGACATTTCATTTCGTAATTGAATTAATGAGATCATTATCTAGTTTATGTTCTGTCTTGCAGATTGATGAAGGATGGTGGAGAGGCTGGTGCAATGGCCAGTATGGGCTGTTTCCTGCCAACTATGTGCAACTTCATAGCCCAACACAGTGAGGTCAGATACTCTGGGATGTTAAATACCATCCCAGATGTAGATGACGAATGGCAGGGTATTCTAGATGTTCCAGGAAGTGATCCTTGAAACTTATTCATGAAAATGTGTAACAATGCAGTAATTATGGGCTACAAAGATCTTTTATATTTTGTAATCTTAAAGAAATGTTTTTGTGCCTCATTTTAGATTATTAAAGCTGTTGGGAGAGTTGAGAAACCTTCATGAAGGGGAAATGTGTAACTACCAATAACAGATTGTGATAAACCAGGTTAAAAAGAGGTAAGAATGCTGCCTTCATGTAAGCAACCGTACCTTGAGTTACGATGGATCATGAACACATGATCCAGGAAGTGTACATCCACACCTTGGTGAAATATGATGGATCATGAGCATCCATACCTTGGTAAGTTATAATGGATCACCTTGTTGGGAGAGATGAAGTATCATGACCACATCCACACCTCGTTGAGAGTTATGGTGGATCATGAGCACATCAACATCCTGGTGAGATAAAGAATTGTGCTCATCAACACCCTGGTGAGAGAGATGATGGGTCATAAACAAAACTGGCCATATGTCTTTCCATCTCTTGTGTTGTCACGGAGACATGAAGGGAAACATAATTTTGACAGCTTTAACTGATTTTGTTTTGGTTCTTTCTTAATCAATGGCCTTAATGAAGACTTAATTATCCTACAGATTGCATTGGCACAGCAAGTCTCATTTACACTTCCTTACCATCTTAAGTTGGTGCTGAGGATGGAGCAAGTTGTTCAGTTGGTGCTATTATTGTACATGTTTACCCTATACATTTTTATACTATGTAAACACAGGATAAGTTGAGATCTTAAATTTGCATATGTATTTCACTTTATTAATTCTCATTCGCAGATACACTGTTCATACATATCATATAACCATTTCTAACTACTATACCATACATCAACAGTGTTTTGAACAAATTGAAAACTTGGACCAGCATCTAAGTCTTCTACAGTATTCTCCAATACACACACACCTACCACCCACCTCTTCCTCCACACACACACACACACACACACACAATATGTTAACAACTTACTGGTATATCCAACAGTACCCAGTACAGTAGTTGAGGAGAAATTTGAGTGACTTGATAATGGCAGATATACATACAGTATGTGGATAAGTTATGGTACATGAAATTTGTTTTTTGTTTTATATAACTAGGTTACATCAGAGGACAAGAACTTGTATCTTAGGCTGGTTACTGGGAGGGGTCATGTCTCATACATGGATCTATGAAAATAAAACTGTCTTATAAACTTTCCTTATTAAGACTACTCATAGCCCAGTTGATAGAGTGTCGGCCTCACATGCGTGGGGTGCATGGTTCGAGACCCATACAATCCAGGTGAATGGAATGGATCTATGGTCTGTGACTTTAATTGTAGACACAATTTATGTGAGTAATCCTCTCACAAATTCCTGATGCCAGATTTCAAAACATTTTCTCTTATCCACTGTAATGATCCTCAGCACCAGTAAACCAACCAATATCTACTCTCATACTCAAAAAGCCACTAGTATTGATCTATTTATTTGTTCCTCTTTTAGATCTAAAGTGTCACATTAATGATGACCTTCATATCTTCTACAAACTTTCTGCTCCCCATCTTTCTGCTGTTCAGTGACACTTTGATAGAGTAGAGCAGACAAAGTTATATATACACCTTTTATAGTCACCTAAAATACTACATATTCAGTAATAAGATTCTTAATATTACCTTTTGTTCATTATTGCTTTTAACGTCGTTGTCTTCCATTCCGACAGACGTTTTTTCCAGGAACGTTTGTTTGGTTTTTAGTTTATTTTTTCAAACCCTGTAAAGTGAATAGTGCCAAATTCTACTATTTAATTATCTATTATATCTGTACAGTATGTACGATGGTCCACATTGTTACAAAAAGTGTTATCTGAACAGGAGGATGGGTTGGAAATTCTTGGTGAAATAAATATTTTTTACATCACTTATGTCTTCTGACTGTTTTGTGCTACACAGAGCTAAATAGGATTTAACACTTTCTTTTGACAATTACTTAGCCCATTTTGGCACTTGCACTGGTCTGGTAGATGGCAAGATCCGTTCCGATAGCTCTTTTGTGATGTGCCTCGGTACTGGCATATTGAGGCACCATCAGAGGGTTTTCCTTCCCTCCAGGTTCGAGATTGTCAGGACATTTTGATGGCTTTTGGTCCTCCTCTTCAGTGTCTTGAAGGACTGTTCCTCTGTCTACTCTTCTGTTCAGCAATGTCTCCAGCTTTCCCAAAAGCAATCAACATCATTGGCCTCCTCACCTGCTGTGACTTCTATTTTCAGTGCTGGAATTTGTGGCAGTCTGCAATGCACTTCAGCACATGCATCGTCTGCAGAGCTTTGCTTCCCATCTTTCAATTTGCTCCTGTGTCATTCCAATGCCTCCTCCAGGAAAATGGGAAGAAATTTGGTTCAGAGAACAGCCCCAGTGGGGTTGTTCTCTGAGGATAGCCTTACTTCTGGCCTATCATGCTTTTGTCCTCAGTGTTTGTTCCCATTCAGAGCATGTCAAGCTTTCTCACACAGTCAGACTCTATACTTTGTTTCAACAAAACGAGAAATAAATGGGGCCATCTTCGTCTGGCTTTGTGAGCCTGTTTGCCTCTGGATGGTCCCGACTGTTTCCAGTCTATGGGACATCGTTTCCAAATTGCATTGCATTAGCAAAGATGCTTTTCCCACCTGGCCTAGTGGAGGTAGGCTTACCTCTCCTTCTTGCCTTGGCATAGTTGCTACTTCCTATATTGACTGGGTTGGAGCCCTTTGAGTGCAACATTTTTCTATGGACTACCATGTGACTGATTTAGCCTTAGTTCCTATTCCAACTTGCCTGTTGTCACAAACCCCTTCTTTTCCTGATGCTCTAACACTTCCCAAGATTTGGCCACCCACATTGGCATCTTTGCAGTGGTAGGTCCTCTACCTGTTGCTCTCTCTTTGGCATCAGTCCTGCTTGTTGGTTGCCAATGGTGCCATCTTTTCTGGCCTTTTCATGACATTCAATGCTTGATTAATGAATTACTATATAGTAAATATCCCCCTCTTGTGTTGATACATAAATGTTGACATATGAAAGTTTATTCTTGCCAGAACACCTAGAGGTTCATGGCTCATGGACTTAAATCAAAGTCATGCTAAGTGCACAAACCTTCTCAACTCTATTCAGGACAAGCATAAATTATAGTTGACTGGTCACTAAAAAATATTTTTATTGACCAAGGCATGTCCTCAGAGTCAGACATTCAAAACTGCTTGGGCTTTAATTTTTAACTGAAGGTAGAGTGTTACATTAGACAGCCTAAAATTAGAATACTTCACAATGGCACATCATCAGCCACAAAAAATCCTTTACAGTACATACTAAATTTACACCTCAGTCCCAAAGAACATTTACAATATGATTTTTGGAGGATAACAAAGTATTTTTAAGTCAGCCTATAAATGTGTCAGAGCAGAGGTAAAGCAGTGATTATATCTTACAAATAATTTCTTTTAAAAGCATAATTGTGTGAGTGCAATGTACAAGATTAACAATCTGTTTATGGGGAGAGCCCCATCGGCTCCCCGGAGCTATCCAGACTGATATTGCTAATATTAGACTTTGACATCAGTCGGTGTGAATGGAGTTCTTAAGCCTACCGGGGACCATGAGCCAGAACATGGCCCCCGCTCAGAGAGGCATGAGGAGCAATGGCCTATATAAACCCCCATGTGGTTGGAAGCCTTCTATGTCTTCAGGGTACTGCTAACCAGGGGCCCAAGTCTACCAATCAAACTTATAAGTACCTGAACCCCCAGGAAGTGTACACTCGTGGGGACCTGGCAGGAGGTACCACCAAAACAGAGAAGCGTATGCTATATACATTGGGGGCAACAACGAAGGCAGACCCCGGTCTGGGGGAGCCGGTCGGCCGAGCGGACAGCACGCTGGATTTGTGATCCTGTGGTCCTGGGTTCGATCCCAGGCGCCGGCGAGAAACAATGGGCAGAGTTTCTTTCACCCTATGCCCCTGTTACCTAGCAGTAAAATAGGTACCTGGGTGTTAGTCAGCTGTCACGGGCTGCTTCCTGGGGGTGGAGGCCTGGTCGAGGACCGGGCCGCGGGGACACTAAAAAGCCCCGAAATCATCTCAAGATAACCTCAAGATAACCCCCCACCGGGCAGGAAAACAAAAAGAAAAAGAAAATCCCGCAAGAGGACAGCGTACCCTGGCAGAACAGAGTCAGCCGCTATGAGACATGAAAACTAGCTGCACATTACTTACCGGGCACCTAGAGAAGGGAACCATAGGCCCATGCAGCCCGAGTACTGAAGAATTACTCCTGGTTCGCGCACCCCCAGTAAGACAGCCGCCACACCATACAGGCACAGAGCTGAGAACCAATATCAGGAGCCAGAGAACACGACTTTCGCCTAGCGCATCAGCCTTAGAACCTAGATCTTGGGTAGCCGGCATGAGGGGTTTGGGGCTTCCCCTTCCCCCTCCCGGGGAGTGGGAAGAGGGAAGCCCTTCAAATAGAACAAGGGCTGTCTTTCGAAGCCCTTGTTCTGCTTCAAGGATAAATCGCAAATTAAATGTGTTCCATCCTCTAGGAATAAGGACTATTCTGTTGGTCCTCGGGGTTCTGTCCTCAGTTTGACTTCTTATTAAAAAGTTCAGCTGAGGTATCTGTTGTTAAGCTAAAGGTTACATAAATTTTGCGTTATATGGCTCCAATGACCGTGTTACAGTGCCAGATAAATTATTAAGCAGTCAACCTAACTGCATCTCTAGTTGAAGTTGAGTTACAATGATAATATGTTACAGTTGTGTTTTGGTACGTTGCCTTAGAACAATAAAGCCTACTCAATGGGTATATTTAGTATAAGTTACTTCATTCATGATTGTTGTAGTGGTACATAAAATCAGTGAGAAATGCATACAAAAGATGAATCCAATTCTTACTGTTTATTATGCTGTGGGCCACAACAGTAACTTTCTAACCTGTGTGTATCACTGGAAAGGTTTGACCCAGCTTAAGAGGCTGGGTCACAAGACACAGTGTGATGATACTGCATATTACTTTAACAGTTCTTGGTATTACCATAATTTATCCACATACCGTACAGTATACATGTACACACAGCCAACCACCTGCTTTTTGGACACCTCAGGACTGAGACTGGACAGATAACCTGTTATGTCTGGAAAGTGTTTAATCATACAGTATTGTAAATCTAGAGGGGGAAATTTTAAATGTTATGGGAAAAATTTAAATTTTTTTAATTTTTTTTTTTTACTTTCTTCTCAAAAGTCATCACTGAATGAATTCTCTTGGGTTTCCTGCATTTGGAGCCAACATGGTGCTCAAATGTAAATAAATATGGCAGATATATCCCCACCAAACATCACAGGAACCTGGTGCCAGATTCACGAAGCAATTACACAAGTATTTACGAACGTGTACATCTTTCCTCAATCTCAAACGGCTTTGGTTACATTTATTAGACAGTTTATAAGCATGAAAACTTCCCAATTAACTGTTGTTATTGTTATAAACAGCCTCCTGGTGCTTCGGAGCTCATTAACTGTTTAATAATTGTAAACAAAGCTGCCGAAGATCGAGAAAAGATGTACAGGTTCATAAGTACTTGCGTAACGGCTTCGTGAATCTAGCCCTAGTGCACCAATAACAAACCAAAACAGTGTTATAGACCTACGATGTTACATGGGTAGAAAGCTCTTATGTGGCACCCAGTATGGCCACTGAGCATACCATATCCCACCTGTTCATCCTCCATTATCATTTTACTAACATTTCTCAAATGGTCAGAAATGTCTTACTGCAACATGCTTTCACCACTTTATAACTTTATTCAGACAATCCAAAAGTGAGAAGCCAGTATATACAAGTAAGTGGTGTCCAGAAAGCATGTGGCTGTCTATATATATACACACACTATATATGACTCCATATACTTATGTCAATTACATCACACCTTAATTCCCTCTTTCCTCATATTGTCATTTTATTAATTTTTCGTATTTTTATCTTTGACTAACTCTAGCACTTGAAAATGTCATTGTGCTTAGTTTGCATCTACTGGCACCATAACATCTACAAGCACTATAATGTATATCCTTGAAATTTTCAGTCT